CTACCTGCAAGTGGACTGGGAGGACGGATGCTTTCCGGTGGTCCTGAGGCCATGCTGACGCGATGGGTGACAGGCTGCCCTGCGTTGGCGGGGCAGCAGGGTAGTGGTGACTGATTCCTCTGCCTGTGACGCAGTGTTGTGCTGCAGCTCCATCAGGACGCGGGAGTGCTTTCCAGCAGGCTCCAAAGTACTTTGTTCAGGAAGAGGTGGGTTCGCTGTCACTAGGGGATGCTTTTTTTTTTCCTCTTAAAGCATGCTGGTGTCCCTAGAGCGCCAATAGAAATTATTGACTACAAGATTCATGCTTCCATAGCATTGCATGGGGGTTTTGTGAGCTTGGATACTGATTAATCATGCTCTAATTCATGGAAAACTATTTTTTTCTCAAACCGTTGCCCAGTTGCTGTACTGTGTTAAGCAGTGGCGAAGTTTTGCTGCAGATGTGGGCTTGCCTCCATGCTAGTTAAAGTGATTTTGCTATGTGTCTTTTACCTACTTCCCTGGAGTATTATAAAGTTTAACTAATGCTCACAAAGTACTTTGCGATGCCTGATCGAAAGGCTTTGAGAGGAACAAAGTATTTTTATTTTCCTGAGCAAATTCCTGTTGTAAAGAATCCTGGAGAGTAGACTCACACACTCCATCATCTGGATCTTGTTAGTAAACAAATTGCATTTTCCCATCAATTTACTAATGGTAATTGCCACTTTGAGGCTACAGTCAGGTTTTGAAACAAAATTGTGCCTGGCCCATTCGTTCTAACAGCTGTCCCTGAATGACACAGAATATTGATGTGTCTTTTATTGAAAAAGGAATTGGCTTTGGTGGGGAAGACAAATTATCAACTACAGATAAACCCAGAATCATACTGACTGGTGTTGCTCAGAAATTCAAGTGACCAGGAAATACAAGCTGAACAGACAGAGGCGAGGTGGTATTTTTCCAGCCCTGTAAGGCCAGGGGTGGCTGTAGACTTCTCAGCGGTGTAGGCAAAAATGAATTCTGCTGACTGAGGATGAAGGGCCTGGCCACTCCTGCGGGGGGAAGGGGAGAGCTGCTGGCTGGGAAGATGGAGAAACAGCGGAGCTGAGCTTGCTGTTCCTCTGGCTGCTGGGCAAATAGAGGAGGAGGGTGGCAGTTGCAGCTTTGGAGAGATGAAGGTGGTCTCCACCACCTACTGCTGTTGCCCCAAGCCCTGGTCCCTCCTTCAGTGGCATCAGGCTGCCCTTCCCTCCAGGGCTCTGGCTGGGATCGTGGCTGTTTTGACACACCGGGCAATCTGCTGCCTTACCTCGCTCCTTGCTGGGGTGACCTCCAGACACACCGGGCTGTTTGCCTTGCTTGGGAAATTGCTCCTTTGTTCTCAGAATATGGTGAAACCAGCAGAGAAATGTGAAGCATCTAATTCTTAGTGCCCCTGCTGTTGCCTAGTGAAGATGTCAATTGGTTTGTCTAAAATATGCCTTGGTTTTAAATCCTCTGAGCTCCACTGAGATCCTCCGAGCCTGGTGCGTGTCTGAGTCTTTTGTGAGGCTGATGGGCATGTGCCATTCACACTGTCACTGGCCTGGGGAGGGGCAGGACCAGTGTCTTATGTCTTCCTGCAAAATGCAGGTGGCAGTGGCATAATGCACTTCTTAATGGTGCTTTCAGACTGGGCTGGTCCCTGTCAGGTTGTCTGTGTTTTCTACCCAGTGCAGGAATAGAAAACTCCTGGGATAAGAGGACTGTGCAAAAATCTGGGCTTATTTTCAAGAGGATTCAAAGGCAGATTAGGTCTAAAAAGCTGGATGACTTACAGAAAAACAGCACCATGCTGGGTCTGGAGACGGATCCCTGCTCTGAAGAGCTTGTGCTCTAAATTAGCCATTCTTAACTTTTTCCACTTTGGGGACCTCTAAAGCCTTTGACATGGAGATGTGGAAATACCCCAGGCACAGACTGCTGTGCAGCACGGGACCTGCTCTTTGCAGTTGCCGTGCTTCTCAAAATAGCCCGTGACCCCTGCGGTGAGGGACCAAGGTGTGTGACTGCGGTGCTGTCTGCTGCTGCACCTCTGCTCTCTGCAGCTGCCTCTTCCAAAACAAAGAACCAAGCCCAAGATCTCGCTGTCCATCTTGTGGCCAGCACCAGCCCCAGAGATCTCCAAAGCTCCAGGTACAGGCAAACTTTCTACAGCTGGGTGACATCTTTTTGTGGGAGACAGGCAGGTCAGACCCGTGGGAACAGGCTCCCCAGGAGCCAGGCACCTCATTGCTATGCACCTTGCTGTGACCTTGCCTTCTGTAGCATAAATACACAGAGACACACACTCTGCTATATATAATCTCCTGCTACACGCCTCTCCCTGGGGAGAAGGCGAGAGAGCAAACATGTGCCAGGCGTTAGTCACGTTGCTCTCGGAGGCTGTTCAGATTCCACCATGATAAGCACAGGAGAGGATCCCTATAGAGCAGTGCTGTCCGTTGCTTTCGTTTGGGCAAGGTCTTCTAGTGTTTCACTTGGCACCCGTGCTGCAGGACCTGGCCCGATTAGCCTTAGGAAGGGGCACTGGACGCCGAGGATTGTAGCACGAGAAGAGAGAGTTTGGGATATCCCTTTTCCGAGGCAGTGTGGGGGCTTTTCATTCCTCTCCCTTTGGGATCCTGAGGAAAGTGTCAAGCATGGGAGTTGCTGTGGGAGCAGACAGTGCATGTCCCTCTTGCTTAAAAAACAAACAAAACAACAGCAGCAACAAAACAAACAAACAAAAAAACCCTAACCAAACCCCTGTTAGCTTTCCGACTGGTGTCAGGAACAAAGGCCCGGTAGCCATCTGACCAAGAGCTGCCTTGTGCGGTGGAGGGCAGGCTGTCAGTGCTGGGACTAGAAATGGCCGGTTCAGTTCTTTGGCAGTGATTCTAGTCCCCAGCACAAATCCCTTCCTTCTCCCCATCTTCTCCAGAGCCGGAATCCCGAAGCATCCAGAAAGCTCTGCTGTACGCAGCTGGAAGGGGGGAAAGGCTTCTGCAGCGGGGATTTTTTTGGCTGTTGTCAGGCTGCTCTATCTTGGGAGGAGCGGGGGCATCTTTTAAATGAGACGAGGTACCCTGGCGCACCATTTCTGCCAGTCAGGAGACTTGCAACAGGTACAACGTTTGCTTTGAGGTTTCTGCTTTGGCAGAAATGAGGACATCGAGAGACGTCTTGACATCTCACTTTGCTAACATTTGTGTCTGAATTTCCGGCAGGGAGGAGACAATCTCCAAATCACTGTTCCCTCTCAGTCGTCAGCACCCTTCCTCCGCTCTGGAACAAGCTGATAATAGCTTGTTTGTGCCTTACCCACCACCGGGAAGAGGGCTGAGAACAGGCGTGTCTAAGGAGCTGTGCTGTCGGGCTTCCCCTCCTGTTAGATAGCAATAATTAGTGGCTGGAGGCAGCGCCTCCTTCTTGATACAGAATTAGCTGTTTTCTCTCCCCCCTCTCTTCACCCTGAGGGGAAATCACTGCATGGGGCTCTCTGATACAGCTCCCTGCAGTAGCTGGGAGCTGGACACCAGTATCTGGGAGATCCCTTCCTCACCTGCGGTCCTCTTGCCTTTCCTCTCTTCTAGCTGTGGCTCGAGGAGTGGCTCAGTGCAGGATTGAACCTTCAGCTTAAGCCGGGGGATATTGACCTCCCTACTCCACTGTGATTACAAATGATGGGAGGCATATGACATTATTTATTCATTCATCTGTGCAGCATTCTCCATACATCCCAAAGCGCTTTATGGGAGTGCTTAATGCTCCTCGGTGCTGCTATAAAGTAAATTCTGGGCAGGGCTTTGAAGAGCACCATCTCTGCTCTTAACGGAGCCAGTTTACTTTCCGCTTATCTGTTGTGTGGGATGATTGCTCTCTGAAAATAGTCGTCTTTTCTCTTTGCAGTCTGACGTTTGTTAAATCCGGTCTGTTTTTTCATTGGTAATGATGGAGAAAGGATGTGAAAAATACGTACCTCATCAAAGGCTTGCTCATATAATTAGACAGCTCACTGCACATCTCCAGAGCTGGAACCTACTTGGTCCTTGCAGAGTTGAACTGTGCCGCAGATCCCACTGCAGAATCCCTCACGCCTCCTTTTATCTCTGCCTCCTTGGAGGAGATGTGGCAGCAGCTATTCGGACGGTGTTGTGTGTCCTGTTGCACACAAGGACCGGGGAATCCCAGAACTGGAGTCCATTTCCTTAGGCTGACGGCTTGGACCCTGTTCCCAGTCAGCAGGGGAATGCTGCGTGCTTTCCAAGTGTGCTGGAAGTCGCTTGACCTGCCTAAGGTTTTGGCGTTGGGAACAGACCCCAGGCCTGACTCCTAGCCAAACCCTGCTGTTGCCAGTGTTGTCTGCTTCTCTCCAGCATTACCTGCTTGGCACAGTAATTATGAGAATGGAGTTGTAATAAAACTGCTTCCTAAATCCAGCATGTTAATAGCAGCTCAATTAGATGGGACTCCTGTGATTCCTGTGAAGTCCATGTGAATGAATGACGCTGGGGCCGTCCTCAGAAAAGGCAGCTCAGAAACTTGCTGCCTCTTGACCTGCTCTTGAACGCTGGCACATCCTTGTCAGTGCATGGGCTTGTCTGGAGCAGGGTAGCCAGATATAGTCCAGAGGTGGATTTTTTTTTTTTTTTTTTTTTTTTTTTTTTTTTTTTTTTTTTTTTTTTTTTTTTTTTTTTTTTTTTTTTTTTTTTTTTTTTTTTTTTTTTTTTTTTTTTTTTTTTTTTTTTTTTTTTTTTTTTTTTTTTTTTTTTTTTTTTTTTTTTTTTTTTTTTTTTTTTTTTTTTTTTTTTTTTTTTTTTTTTTTTTTTTTTTTTTTTTTTTTTTTTTTTTTTTTTTTTTTTTTTTTTTTTTTTTTTTTTTTTTTTTTTTTTTTTTTTTTTTTTTTTTTTTTTTTTTTTTTTTTTTTTTTTTTTTTTTTTTTTTTTTTTTTTTTTTTTTTTTTTTTTTTTTTTTTTTTTTTTACTATTGATGTTTTCGCTGCTGGGTGCTGTAGCATGAGCCTGTCTGTACAGTAGTAGCTGAACGTTCAGTCTTCTGCATCCCTGTATTCCTGTGGCTGCCGCACATGACTAAGGAGCAGAAACAATCTAGTGGAGTGACTCATCCCTTTAGAGAAGGTGGGATAAGAGCAACAAGAGACAGCGAGCGTAGAAACAGCATCCACAGGAGAGCTGTGCTGTGCTGCACCAAAGCTACCCAGAGTCTGTTCTCTGGCCACGTGGAAGACTTTGGTCATCCGCGATTTGTAACAGTGAGAACTAGTTAAGAAATTGGCTGATGCAACATTTCCTAAATAAAGGCAAATGTGATTTATCTAAAACATAAAATCTGCTATTTCTTGGTCTGTAGGTTTGTCTCAATTCTAAGCTGTATCTTGGATGATCAGTGGCAGGTGAACAGATGAAAGAGCCGAGGCTGGCTGGGGAACTACTCACCACATGATTGAATGAGATGCTTCTCATTCTCACCGTGGCTTGTAACCACGGTGTTCTCCAGGTTGCTTCAGCACAGCAAGTTGCTCTGAAAGTCTAAGGGGTTATATTGCTTCAAAACCAGCTTCTGGGGTATTTGGCATCCCCGTAAGTCCATTGACAGTAACTGCAGGGCAGTGGAACTTGGGTTTTGAGTCTCTGTTTCCTTTCTCTTTTAGATCAACGAACTCAGCAATGTTCCCGTCCCCGTCATGTTAATGCCCGATGACTTTAAAGCCTACAGTAAGATTAAGGTGGACAATCATCTATTCAACAAGTAAGTAGGTGCTTCCCAACTTGTTTGCCTCTGTAATTAGAGCTCTTTGCTGTGGGGGAAACTGGCATGTTGAAGGCCTTTTAGTTTGTTCCCTGTTGTAATGCCAAGAGGGTCTGGCATGGCTGGACACATGCCACAAGTCTGTGCCCTGCCCAGACCACTCAACAGGATGTGGTGGTGGGGCAGTCTGTCACTGAGATGCTGTCTTGTGGTTTGGTTTATATCCTTTGAGTGATGAGAAGTCTGGTAAGGCCAGGCTCAGAAGTGGCACTACTTAAAAACAAGGCTAGTTACACATAGATATTCACTGGACGGGGTAGAAGACAATTAATACTTCAGAGTTCACAAAGAGTAACTTGTCCAAAGTCCTAGGACTGGAGTTTGCTGCACATCTTGGTTATGCACAAAACCGATGCAGGACTGTCTCTTGACCCCTGCTGTGCCCTGTCTGGATGTCCTGTCCTGACCAGCAGAACCCAAATCCCAAGACCATGGAGGAGAGGGCAGGAGTTTGCTCTCTGTGACCTGCTAGCTTCCCTGTCTCTTTGGAACTGTTCACAGGAGACAGCCATGAAGCTGCATTATACCCCTGGCCCATGGGGTTTATATAGAGTTACCCCCTTCCCCTTTTCCCAAAAGATCAATTTTTGGAAGCCCTTTTAAAGCCATGGTCGTGACTGGTGCTCAGAGCTGTGTTCTCCACTCGGGCTCTGTGTGTGCGCAGGTCTGCAGCGCTCCCTGATTAATGCTTCATTTTCACTAAGTTTCACAGGGATCAGCTTTTGAGAGTGGGAGTGTGATTCAAAAGTTTGTCTTCTCTGGCACCTACAATTTGCAGTATCTGCTTTTCCCTCTTCTCCTACATAGATTTTAGTTTCCCACGTATTGGTGCAAAGGATTCTCATTGAGAATGAGCTGACAAAATCTCCCACTGTGCCCAAGCAGGACCATCCTCTCTGCCTCTTCCCACTGGGCAGAATAAGAGCTCTGGTAGGGAGTAGATGCGGCATCCCTCAGCAACAGGGGATGTTGTCTGTTGTCTGCTGTACTGTGTTCTGGGGAGGCCCCGTTCCCGGCTGGCGAGGCCTGGCAGCAAAGCTCAGTCTGTAATGGTTGGGATTGGTCTGGAACATGCCAGACTGGAGCTGATTCACCCCCTCTCCTTTGCGTTCTGGGTGAGATGGTTTGTCTTGTGTTGACCTTTCTTTTGACGCACGAGTGATCTGATCTGATCTGAAATCAGAGCCCCCCTCCCTTTCCTCCAGCTTTTCATCTTAAACAGTAACAGTGTGTTGCAGGGCAGCTGTGTTACTGAACGGAACAAAGCAACAAAGGAGGAGGAAAGAGAGAAATTATTCTGTCAAATCTGTGCTTGTGACAGGGGAGATTGTTCTGTAAGACAGACATCCTCATCCAAAGAGCCTGTTAGCCAAAAGCTGGATCCTGCAAGCATTTCTATGAACGGATGACTTTTGTAGGCATCCAAAGAAACAAGCTACCCTAATGAGGGTAAATACTTGCAGAGTAGGGCCCTTGTAGGTAGGAAGGGGCTTGGATATCCTGGGGGTTAGCAGTGAAGTGGGAGAAGAATTGAGTTTGATTTCACAAGCTGATCATTGCACAAGAATATCTTTTCTGCTTTGCCCTAGGGAAAACTTGCCAAGTCGCTTTAAATTTAAGGAGTATTGTCCACTGGTGTTCCGAAACCTCCGAGAAAGATTTGGGATTGACGATCAAGACTACCAGGTACCGTGTCTTTTCTCCCCGCCCTCCTAACGTCTTTCCCTAGGACAGAATAACCAAGCTGGCAGAGAAACTATGATATCAACATTCTTGTGTGGTCAGTTTTTATGGGCTTATAATCATGGTTTGAATGGTTTTACCATCACCCTAAGGGCCCCCAGCAGTAGATCTTGCTGTGCCAGGCCCTGGGCAATTGCAGAACGAAAAGATGGTCCCTGCTCCAGAGCACTTGCAGTCTAGGTATAAAATAAAAGGCAGCAGATGGTTGCAGACAGGCGGGAGCTTGAGGATAACAATGATCTAGTGCAGAACATCTGCAAGGAAAATGAGTCTGTCGTGTTTTTACAGATTCGGGTGCCACTTTAACCAAGTACGTGTGCCAAGCATTGGTGCTGTTGAATTGGGTTTATCAAGGTGGCTGCTGCTTTGGGACGTGTCCCCTAAGGCCAGAGGCTCAGACTTGCCTTGGAGGGGAGACACATTTTCTTGTATTAATACCGCTGGGCTTAAATCCAGTGAAAGAGAGATGTCGCAACTCTCGCTGCTTACAGCAGGGCCAGCCTTCCACACACAGCTCTTAGTCTTACGCACACGGGAGATGTGTAGTAGCAGGCTGCTTGGAGACCTCTTAAATGAGGGAAAAGCCAGCGCAGAAAAAGAGGGTGGCTTTGATAGCTGCGTGGCCTTTAGCAGGCTGAGTGTTAGGTAATTAAACCCAGTATCTCTGGCACTCCACTGCAGTTGATAAAGGCTGGCAATGCGCCAGCACTGACTGGTCGAGGGCTTCAACTAAAATACTCGCTGGAATACGCCAGCCCACAGCGGCACGTTAGCGCTGGCGCGGTGGGTGAGCGGTGCAAGCTTCTTGCTCTCTCCCTTCTTTGCTTCACGTACAAGTCCAGCCATGCTCCCTGCTGCCTGTGTTGTGGGGAGAGGAGATGGGAGCAGAGCTGTTCCTGCTAATCCTACCAAACTGCTTCCTTCTCGTAGTGTGTGTGTGCCCCTGTCCGCATACATCTGCGTATACGCCCTTCCCAAGCTTGTCAAAACTCTCTGTGATTATATCTAGATTATTGCCTGATCTTCCCCTGTTTCAAGGTTAATATAATGAAGAAATCTGTTTTCTTACTCCAGCTGCGTGGCTCATTGCACTGGTGAGACACTACATCTACTTGATCCTGTTTCTGGTCTCATGTGGTACGGGGCAAGGAGCAGATGTGTAGCACCTGCATCCCATCCTCTGCCCCTTGTTCCCAGACCGAGGGGGGAGCATGCTGGTCCCCCTGTGAGAAGGGGTGACCTCTGAGGATACCGGGATCAGTGTTTGAGGCTTTGTGTAACTGTGTCTCAGTTGCCTCTCTCCTGGCTGCCAGGGCCCATCCTACTCTGCTGCCTGTTCTCAGGCACGCTGGGCACTCCGAGGGTGTTTGCTCAAAGTGAGACACGTTTTTCGAGCAGAACTGACAGTCATCTTTGCTTTTCTTCTGCAAGGGGCCGGCCATCCCCAGGAGGAATAGTAAATGCTGGCTGCTGCCTTGTCGCAGCTCTGGTCTGGATGACTGCCCATCTGCTGACGGAGATAGAGCTGAGCCCAGCGTTAGGAGGCAGGTGCCGTTCTTTGTGCCTGTGTGTGCTCAGTGCCTTGTAATTACCTGAGAGCCATGAGTTGCGCACACAGATCTCTTCTGCTTGTGATGGAAGATCTCTTTTATCTTCAGGACACGGCTGCTCAGTCAATGCTTTTCTTGAGCACATGCCTGTTAGATTATTAATTCTATTTCTTCCCTCCTACCGTCAGGCCTGTTCTCTAGGCAGTGATGGCGTTTTGCCAGGAGAAGCAGTACCATTGCCTCCTGGTCTGTTGACAGTAGTTCATGCCAGGCTGTGTATGGCTCTTGAGGAGGCTGCTTGGCCAGCAACACCCTGCCCCTGAGGCTGGCTGTACCAGGGAATTACTTTGTGTGCTGGCTTCCTCCGTACCCTTCAACGTACTTGCATGCAGTGAAGTCATTAGCTCCTAATTATTTTTTCTCCCGGTCCATCCGCTATAGTATATTTTAGAAATTTTTTTCTCAGTTTCTTTTAAGAAATGATCAGAGCCACGTGAAGTAACTTACATAGAAGCGCCCGCAATCTTGTTGGTTCTTAATACCTGGTTTATCATTTATGTTTTACCTGCTGCTCTGAAGGATTACTTCTGCCATCTCTGGGGTAGAGCAGTTTGGCTCTTTAAAAGTGTCCAGCTAGAACAGAAAGCAGAAGACATTCACTGAGCTAAATTCAGGTGGGTAAAATGTGATGGCTTGAGTGGGAATCGAGCCAGGATGATAAATATAACACCCGAACTGTGGAAGAGGTGGGAGTGACAGGAAGGGAACAAAGTAAACCTTGGCTATGAATTTGGTAATGTCTATATGTGGTCATGATTTCTGCTTCCCATCTTCTGTAGAAGAAAAGCTCTGTGGTTTTGAGGTGAGGGGTGATTAAACTGTGTAGCACACTCATTTGCAAATGTCAGCAAGAAGCAAGGGGGTTTTTTTGTTTGCCTTTATTTTCCTGACAGCTTCTAAAGCCGTTGGCAGGAGTAGAGTTTTTCCCCTGCTTCATTAAAGTTTTAAAAGCTTTAAATGCTTCATTCTGAAAGGAAACCTCTCGGCTCACTTGCAGCGTGACAATGGTAAATCCCTCTTTCGCAGCAGGCTCTGCTTGCCTGCGTGTCCGTGTCTGCAGAAGAGCAGGCTCCCTCTGCTGTCTGCTCTTCAGGGAGCTGAGGGAAGGAGAGAACAGTGTAACTAGCAGCTAAAAAAGTACATCATGAAATGCATTGTCCAGCCCTGAGATCCTGAAAGCCACATCTACCTTGAGCTAAAGACCACTACCCAGGTGTCAGTACCACTGTGTTTCAGAGCACAACTGTCCCCATATGCTTGCGCCAGTGGCAAGGAAACGCTAGTGGGTGCCTATGCTGTTGGTTGACAAAATGGCTTCTGAACAGACACTGGTGACTGGGGTGGTGGAGTTGGAAGGCAGTTGCTGAGAAGTCATGGAGGAAACAAGCAGGAGGCTGGTGACCTGCTTGGGTTAGTCTGGAAGGTGTGAAGAGAAGTGGCTCTTAGTGCGATGGGGCTCACAGTAAGTCCCCCTACCTGGGGAGAAGGATCAGAACAAAGAGCTCATGTTGTGGCTCCAGGAATGTGGTAGATACTTGCTCTGCAGTTTGCTTGGGATTTTCCAATTGTGCTGCAAGTATGAAAAGAAGCTGCAATGTTTCGTTGCTAAGGGTGGAGACAGGGATGTAAAGACAGATGCTGCTGGTTGTCGGAAGAACAACCAAGCTATTTATACTCACAATCTTTTTTGTCCAGTTGTAAGAATAGCAGAGGCTGAGGGTGGCTTTTGGTTTCAGGGTGACCTGTAAAGAATTCCCAAACAATGAGACTTCTGCCAGTTTAGACTGCCTTTTGGTGGAAAAGAAGGCAGGCCATTTCATTCATTTTGTTCTGTTTTTCCTTAAATATTGGAAATATCCTGACAGTTCTTAGATTTCCAGGAGGAAATGCTAAAAAGTCTTAGCCTTAATATGCCTCCTTAATAACTCATTAGTAAAAGACATTTTCAAAAACGCATGCCAGGTGTTGGAGTAAAACAGGTAAACAAATAGAAGGCCCAGATGAAAGCTCTAAACTCCGTGTCCAGACTTCTAAACAATTGGGTTAACCTCGGTAGTGCTGAACGCTCAAGGATGCTTGCTTATTAATGGTCACGACTGGGAGTGTGTTTGCAGGTGTGCTCTGAAGCTTGGCGAGGACACTGTCACAGTTACGAAGGTGGAGCGCAAAGTCTCTGGGATGTCTGTTGTTCCAAAGCCAGGTTGTGGAGCTGGCCCCGGTCACCCATGTCTCATCTGCTTTCCAAGACTGCTCTTCTTTCTTCCCCAGGGAGGTGGCAGCTCCTGCCCCTCCTTCCCACTTTTTTGTTCTGGTTCCTTCAGAACTCGGTGACACGAAGCGCCCCAGTGAACAGTGACAGCCAGGGCCGATGTGGGGCCCGGTTCCTCACCACCTACGACAGGAGGTTTGTCATTAAGGCGGTATCGAGCGAAGATGTAGCAGAGATGCACAACATCTTAAAGAAGTACCATCAGGTACGGTGAGTCTGGAACCCTGGGAGGGGGAGGGCATGGCAAACACGTTGGGGAGCACCTTGTGATTTGCTGGGGAACTGGAGCTTGGATTCACAGTTTCCAGCCTGGCAGAGCTTGCAAATAGCTTTTGCAGAAGAAAACAGTGTTCCTTAGCATCCGAGAGCCAATTATGGCACAGCTGCCTGTTTCTTCACAGTGCTGAGCCCCTTCACAGCTCACCCTGTTCCTTACATCAATGAATTATGGATTGTTGGTACCTGAGATCTGTAAACATGCTCCTAATTCAATCCTTTGAATTAGACTTGCCAGAGGGACCAGGGAGGAGACAGTTACATGCAGCAGGGAAGGGGGGCCAAAGTGGGACAGCTGGAAATGTTCTGCCCTGGTCCACGTTCTCTGCCAGTCCATCTGCTCTTTGCTTTCAGATACACTCACGTAACCACAAGAAGTGAAGTTAGCCAGTGCCAACAACAGACTCGCCCCACTGAGACTGGGTGACAGACATGCACACCTAGCCTGTTACAGCAGGCTGGACATGCACGCACAGTGGGATGCTGTGTCTCAGCTCAGGGCTGGAAGATTCTTACAATGTCCTAACTCGCTTTTCTTGAGACCCTAGGAGCCATTTGCAAGCCTTCTTTCCTTTCACATCGGTGTCAGATGGCTGGAACTGGAGGCTTCGCTATCAGCTTCTTGCTGAGCTTGTGTTCTGTCGGAGGTCGGTTTTGTGTGACAGTACCGTCTTTTTCTGCCCTTCCCTTCCCCGCTCTCCTGCAGTTCATAGTGGAGTGTCACGGGAACACCCTCCTGCCCCAGTTCCTTGGCATGTACCGGCTCACCGTGGACGGAGTGGAAACCTACATGGTGGTTACCAGAAACGTATTTAGTCACAGGCTGACTGTGCACCGGAAATATGACCTGAAGGTCAGTGTTTGGAGGGCAGTCATGGAGCTGAGAGCTCCTTTTCCAGGAGGGTGGGAGTTGGTCTTTGTCACACCTACTTGACAAGGTCCCGGGCTTTGCTTTTTGTTCAGGGGATTAGGTTTTGGGGGTTCTGGATGGGGCTTCGCTTGAGGCCCAAATGTTGTACCATTCCCCCATCACAAGTGGCCTACACTACATCAGGGAGATCTGTAAGTCTATCTCAGGCATGAAAAAGGGGTTGAGCACTGATTTTTAAAGATACTTTCATTATTTTTCTGCATGGAGGAATTAAATGGTGTCAATGAATTCTTCGGGAATATGACACATAGTGCAGCAATGCTCTTTTCTTTATTCTTTTATCAGGGCTCAACAGTATCCAGGGAAGCAAGCGATAAAGAGAAGGTATGGACCATTCCTGGCCAGCCTTTCCTTCCTCCTGGTGGTTGGAAGCAGATGGGATCCAACTGACTTCCCTTTTCCAAAGGGGTATTGAGCAGGGGATATTAAATGGGCCCTGAGTGATAACTTGTTTCTGTCCCACCTTTCAGGCTGTGCCCAGTAACTGCTCAGGAAGAGATGGTGCAGATCTGGTGCTGCCCTGCCCTGCTCTGTTATGTTGACACTACCAGGAGTGGGGGGAACTTCCTGGGGGACAATCCCACAAGTACCAAAACCCACATTAGTGCAATGGTGTCTTTATGGAAGGATTTCTTCATAGCGCTCCCTGTGTACCAAACTGAGTCAGGTCAGCAGTTAGCTTTTGCAACAGATGCTTTTATAAACCAGACCAGCTCCTCTCAGATTCTTGGCATATCTCAGCATGTTTGTAAGTTTGGTTTCTGGTGCCTTTAGGAGAACTTATGACTAAGAATCCTGCCCCTGCAAAACTTTGGCTGTGATGCTGCCATGAAAAGTCCTGCTGAAATCACAGCAGTAACTCATGGTACTACATGTTTTGCACATGCACGTGGGATTTTCAGGTTTGGGACCACAGAGAAAGTCTACTCCAGCCTGCCCTAAAATGAGATCTCTGGCATGAGCCAAGGAACTCCCATTTATACTGAATGTTCTGGCGTCAAGGCACGGCTTCATCGTGCCCAAGTGTCCCCAGCTTGCTGGCTGTTTACTGTCTGGTTTTTCTGCTTATGCAGTTTGTCTCAGACGATTCATAGTGGATCTATATAAAGCCACCACGTGCTCATATGTCATTCTAAGAACAAAATAATTTAATTCCCAGTTGCACAAAGGGGTTGTATATTCTTCAATATCCCTGAGAAATCCTCAGGGCCTGCTGCAAGCAGATTCCTCAAAAAGCAGTGGTTTTAATTTTTTCCTCAAGTATTTAGGGAGAGAAGCATTTTTCTTCAAGCCCTCACCCCTTCCCCCCAGTCTGAAGCCAACAAAATGCATTTCTTTTCTATTCTGGGAGCTGGTTGGACCGTTGCTGGCTGGAGCCCAGCTGTCAAGCTTTCGGCCTGCAGCACATCTTTCCGGCAGTCTTTAAAGTTGAGTGGCTCTCTGTGTCTCCCTTCAGTTTCCCCCTAGGTACAGCTCAGCACATGGATTCATTGAGAAATACTGTGCTCTGCCTGATGCCATTTTCATACTTAGTGGACAGGATGAGCCACTTCACCTTATGGACAGGCAAAAGGTCCTGGTGCAACCGCACACTCGATCAGAGTCTCTGTGCAATCACCATATTGCTAATGGATCAGTGTACCAGCCCTCCCCCAAGAAGTAGGGGTTTGGAAAATTTGACACAGGCTTTTTGTTGCAGGCCAAGGATCTACCAACGTTCAAGGACAACGACTTCTTGAATGAGGGTCAGAAGCTGCATGTTGGAGAAGAGAGTAAAAAGAACTTCCTTGAAAAGCTGAAGCGGGACGTGGAGGTAGAGTTTCCTGGGGGACAGCTTTTACTGCCTCCCATAACTATCCTCACTGTGGCCTCTGGCTCAAGGGGTGCAGCAGTGACTGAAAAGCAAGTCATTCCTGGATCAGTCAAGCAATTACAGTCAGGGTTATGCTGTTAGCAGTGGACATATGAGCTCATGTGTAGATTCTCTGGAGTCTAGTAAAGGTTTAGCTCTCACTACAGCCCTTTCTGTTCAGGGAGATACTGGCAGGGTAGGACTGAGGATTTCTGATCCCACGTGGATGCTCTTGTTCTCACTCATCTCTTTCTCCCAGTTTTTAGCTCAGCTGAAGATTATGGACTACAGCTTGCTGGTTGGGATCCACGATGTTGACCGAGCAGAGCAGGAAGAGATGGAAGTGGAGGATCGGGCAGAGGATGAGGAGTGTGAGAACGATGGTCTCGGAGGCAACCCCATTTCTTCCTACGGCACACCCCCTGACAGCCCTGGCAATCTCCTCAACTACCCTCGCTTCTTTGGGCCTGGAGAGTTCGATCCTTCTGTCGACGTCTACGCCATGAAAAGCCACGAAAGTGAGTATCATGGAATGTTGTCCTGAAGAAGGTCTGGAGGGCAGAGCTGTCCTGTGGTCTGGCTGGGCTAAATGGAGTGGGAGGACTGTCCACAGGGGGAGAGAGAGAGGCCCTGCCAAGTCTCTCTCCTTTGCTGTGCAGTCCCTTGTTGTGGATGGTGTGAGTTGGAATGGGTAGAAGTGATGCTTGGAGAGTAGTGGCATGTTCAGAGAGCATGTGGGCCTCTGGTGTGCTGTTTCCAGTCATTCTTCTCTGCCCTTCTACAGCCTCCAGCTGCCTTGCTTTCTCTGCTAGTTGCATCAGAACAGATCTGCCATATATTTCTTAAGGAGGGGGGTGCAGCTGGGCTTTGCTCACAGCTCAGGGTGTGCTAGCGACTCTCTTGCCTTGCTAGGTGCCCCCAAGAAGGAAGTGTACTTCATGGCCATTATAGACATTCTTACGCCATATGATGCGAAGAAGAAAGCTGCACATGCTGCCAAAACAGTGAAACATGGGGTAAGCAGCCTGCCACCCGCAGGGAGGATGGGCTTTGGGGCTTCTGCTTTGCCTGCATGCCTGCGTGTGTGTGTGTGATGTCTCCTGACACTGATTTTTCTACCAGTATGGAAATTCTCCAGTGATCCCGTGCCCAAGAACAGCTCTTCCCTCACTTACTGTCTCCTCAGACTGTCTTGGAAAGGTTTTCCCTCTGGTTGGTTGGAGATGACTTGCATTTACGTCCCAGTTTGGGAGGTGCTCCATTTCCCTGGTGTGGCACCAACAGCCTCACAGAGCAGGAATGGACGGGCTGCAGGGAGACATACTACCCTGCTCCCTTCCTGGGGCCAGTCCTGTTCCCTGGCAGCAATCCTGAACTTCCCAAAAGGGCTTGAAAAAAGCCCAGGTTGGCGGGACATGGAGTTTTTCATGCTCCTTCCAAATCTCCTCTAAACCATGAGGGAACAAATTCAATGCTTTGACTCAGTGGTCTGTCTGCAGAAGATCCAGCTGGAGCTAAAAATCAGTTGCCTTGGGGATCTCTCTAGACCTCTCTGGATGTTTTTTCCTAGAACTTGCAAGTTTTTATGGGTCTTTCCCGGCAGAGACAGGCTGGGCTGACATGATCGTTCCCTGCTGTCCTCCCTCCTCCACCCTTTGCAGTGCTGCAGGGTCTGCCCTTCGAGGAGGGTGTTGTGACTTCTCTCTCCTCTCTGCCTTGCAGGCTGGGGCAGAGATCTCCACCGTGAATCCAGAGCAGTACTCTAAACGCTTCAACGAATTTATCTCCAATATCCTGACATAGTCGTCTTCAGCCTTCAGCGAGAAATGAAGAGAAGAGGGGCTACTTCCAAACAGAGAATGCAGCCTGTGACACTAAAACAGACACTGTAGCAGCATGTGGGGTGTGCATGTGTGTGTGCGTGTGTGTGTGCGTGCAAGAGTGAGTGTGTGGCACTGTGTGACTTAAGAGAGAACTAATTCTAGGTGCACCCTCCAACAGTCCACTTGACCCAGGTGGAAAAGTGGATTTTTATGTTACAGAAGTGCCCAGACATAGATTTGAGGGCTTTTTAAAACAAGAAAAGTGCATTGTTTCAGCACTGCTCTTTCTAATGACATTTTCTCCTCTCTGATCAAGAGAATCCCATAGGGATATGGTATGTGGCACTGTATAAAAGGGGTCGCTGTAGATCACGTTCAGTGGGAGTGAAGCAGTGCCTGATTCCACAAACTACTACTTTTTTTTTTATTGGACTGTCTTTACCAGAAAGACATACAAGCCCTTTTATTTCCCTCTTGGTAGGAATTGGAAGGAAAATAGCTCACCATTTCAAGGACGGAAAATATTACTCTGATAAGGAGGAGTCGCTGAACTTTAGGTAAATTCAGACTGGGACACTTTATATTTTTTGGTTAATTTAAGTAACAAAAACTTTTTTTGTAACTGCACTTGATTTACAAGAAAGACGAGGGAAATGAACATCTACCAAAGATGATCGCTTAAAAAGGTGTAACCCCTAGAACGTAAAAAAAAAAACAAACAAACCAGTGTGAGAAGTAGTAGAGGCATTGAACAACCTCAGATAATAATGTGCTCGGACCCGTTGTGCTTTAAATTGGCCAGCTATGAAGATTTCATAAAAGGAAAAAAAAAAAAAAGGCATTTTGTACCTGTAGATACGGGATAGTATTTGACTATCTGGAACGTTTCCCTGTCGCACCTCAGTCAGGAATTGCCGTGTCTCTTAGATTACAGCTTCACATCGCAGTTCTGCCAGTGTTAATCTAGCTAATGTTCAGTCTTCCTTACTTGCCCGATCTGCAACAGGTACTTGAATTTGTTTCCTGACAGAGGTTCTTTGGTTAGTTGGTTTATTTTTTAAATGGCAATGTGACTTGCACACGAAGGAATTGGACTCGCTACCAGTGGGGAGTGCTGGGAGCTGTGACTGTGGAGCAAGTTCCACTGCTCAAGAGGACTCGGGACTTGAGCTGTGATTGTTTTTACTCTCCTCTGCTCCATACCCCTCTCTAGAGCGACAGTCAAGGAGTGGAAATGTTTGAACACTTGCGCCAGATTTTTTCCCCCCCCCTAAGGAATCGGAACTGATTTGCGTGACTGAATAACGTCCTGTTTTGTCTCCAGAATGCTTGTAATATTTTTCACAGCCAAGCTTGTCAGACTTGCTTTGGGTTTTGTTAGCTCTGCTGCACAACAGTTACAGGTCTTTTGGTTCTTTTTTTTTAATTTTCTTCTTTTTAAGCAGGATTTAGCGTTTTGAACAAACCTCTTGCAGTTGAAACATGTCGCTTATCTGCCTTGAAACTGTTTTCACATATGCCTTTGTTTCGGGAATAAGCTGTTTCGAATGTCTGTCCTGTGCTGTAACGCGTGCTACAGTTTGCTGTGTGGAATTTGGTCCTTTTGAGAGATAACTGGTGCTCATCACATCCTGGTAATTTCCCTAGACTAACGCTAGCTCTGGTCTGGATTCTGAGTGTGGGCTTGGGTTTTTTTATGTTCATACCCACATTCATGATGTGAATCCCCCAGGTCTCGACTTTGAAGGGGACAAAAGGGGGCTAAAGTTTCAGCCCATGAGAGTGCACTGTAAATAGAGTCTTTAAGAAATCGAAAATTAATATTAGGGGTCATAATGGGATATGAATCTTTTTATTCATTCATGGGTCATTCCCTTTGACATGGGACAAATTTCTTCTGCCACTGTAGTCCGGTCCCTATTCTGTGCGATGTGGGGGCTAACACACCGTTGTCTGGGAGGCTGGAGAGTCTCATGTCTTAAGGTGTGTAGCTGGAAAAGCCACAAAACAAATGCAGCTATGAGAATACTTTAAAAAAGGGAGGACTTAGGGGGCATCATCAGCTTAGTTTTGTGGGCATTATATTGGTTGCTTTTCTCTTAAACAATAAGCACTTAAGTTTACTATCAATTAGAAATTAAATACCAATCACTTTTTATTCTTGACAGTTTTAAAAATCTGCATTGAATCTGCAACTTTGGCCTGGTAAGTCTGCCGTTCTCCTTTTGGGAAGCTAGCTTGTACCTTTTAAACTGTTGATCTTTAAATCGTGTATTAAAAAAAAAAAAGAGAAAAAGGGGGCAGGAAGGGAGAAGGAAATTGGTGAACTGCAGACATCCTGCAATGAGACACTACAAAACAAACAACCCAAAGAAAGTAGAAGAATGAAGCTTGCATAACTAGGAGCAACAGTCTCATTCACTGAATTTCATAAACGGGAACGAAATTAAAATGCAGTTAGTTCCTGCAGCAATCTTTACAGAAGTCATGATACTAAGGGCTTAAGAGCAGTTAACTGTATTTTCTTATTCCACTCCAAAGAAACTCCTGCTAGAATTAAATTGGCTGTCTCTGGCTCAAGTGATATGAAAAGCCCCATAAACTCTATTCACTTTAGCACTTCCCCAATTCTAAGAGAAAAAGGGCAGGAAGGGAGAAGGAAATTGGTGAACTGCAGACATCCTGCAATGAGACACTACAAAACAAACAACCCAAAGAAAGTAGAAGAATGAAGCTTGCATAACTAGGAGCAACAGTCTCATTCACTGAATTTCATAAACGGGAACGAAATTAAAATGCAGTTAGTTCCTGCAGCAATCTTTACAGAAGTCATGATACTAAGGGCTTAAGAGCAGTTAACTGTATTTTCTTATTCCACTCCAAAGAAACTCCTGCTAGAATTAAATTGGCTGTCTCTGGCTCAAGTGATATGAAAAGCCCCATAAACTCTATTCACTTTAGCACTTCCCCAATTCTGGCACCTCTGTCAAGTTGCCATACTGTGTGTACTAAAGTAATGAAATGCAATTTTCTCACTTAATGATGTATTACCCAGGTATGTAACTTTGTTTAACATAAGCATTTTGTATATTGTTTACATTTTGAGAGGTAGCATTACGTTAAAAATGCTAATTTTTGTTTCTAGACAGTATTTTTATTACCAGAATAAGAAGTGAAGCTGCAAATATTTGATTTGTTTTTAAAAGGGACTTTTTCTTTTGTTTTTGTTGTTTTGGTTTGGTTTTTTTAAATCCTGTTTTAGGTCACTTTTTTTAACTCAAGTATTTAAAAGGAAAACCCAGCCCTTTCAATTCTGGTTTTACAACTGCTTGTGCTAGTTTATCGTCTGTTTCTGGTGTGAATTTAGTTCTAGTTTGCTGAATGTAGATATTTCTGTCTGTAGCATGTACCCTGCGGAACACTTTACACTGAAGTGCATTTGACTGAAAACCGCCCTCGGCTGAAAGAGTTGCAGTAGGTAGGCAGATCACTCGGATCCTGGTCAGAGTGCAGGATTTCTCAAGAAATTGCAGTGCAATTCTTTGGTCAACCGGAGTTTCAAAACGAAGAAAAATTTAGTGTGCAGTGTCCCTCTCCAGTGCCCGAAGGCAGGGTGAGTTTGTGTGAGAAGCGAGCTGCAGGATCTGTGTTCCTGTGGGTACCGAGGGTCTCTCTCTTTCTGAACACGGGCCTAATCTGTCAAAATTTAAGAACTAAAAACTGCTTTGAACCTAGAATTTACATCTTCCCCGTTGAGATAGCTCCTACAGCGTAAATAAGAGTGGGAGAGGGAAGGCAGAGTGCGGAGTCACAGTTTGGGTGCTGTTCTGCTCCAATAGTGCAATAAAAAACACTCGAGAACCTGTTGGGTCACCCTTTAATAGGAACCACATGTTCCGGAGGTGCCAGGCGGCACCCGCCCTTTGGTGTCAGTGCTAGGAAGAGGGCCTGGTGTTTGCTGTATGTTAAGAAGAATGTCAGCAGGAGTTCACTCCTCACAGCAAGGAGGGGCGGTGGGATCCTTCCCTCTGGTCTTGTACACACCTCTGGTTGACCTGGTTTTAATTATGAAAGCCGTGATCGTGAAATTCATCACAGGGAGAACTTCTGGGGTAGTAGGTGACTCCAGATTCCCTGCATAAATGAGGCTGCGCTCCCACTGATGGTTGGATTATCAGCAGCAGCAAGAACACTAAAACACTTGATTCTTTCCTTTTCTGGGAGGAAACTCCTGCTTTCCCCTCCGGAGCGCTGCCGCAGCTACCGTCAGTGGGGACGGCAGCTGGGGACTCGCCTCTTAGCCCAAGAAAGGCACAAAGCGAGGTTGTATTGTAGTTACGGGCCGTGTTTGGTAGGGGTTGTGTCTTAGCCTCCACGGACGGATGCCTCCCAGTCCTGTGACTACTATGCAGTCTTTATAGGTGCCTCCCTTTGAGCTGCACCGAGGTCAAAGCGTTTAACCTCGAGGTGGTACAAACCTTGCAGAAGTCAGCGTGTGTGTCCTAAACTTGGTTTGCAACACTGCGTAACCGATCTGAGACAGGTCGTCCTTACAGTCGCTCCAAAACCGAAACGGCTATCCTCTCCCCGTCTGTGTCTTAATGCCCCATTTCAGGTTTGCCTGTCAACTCCCCCTACTTCTGCAGAGCCATTCTCCGGTATCCGTATTAGCCACTACTGATTTTCCTTGCTCTTTGAAACGAATTCTTGTGTAATAGCGATGGCAAAGCTCGGGGAACCAACTGCTGGTCATCCGTCATTTTTAGTGGTTTCAGTTTTTACCACTCAGAAGTTGCGCAGGTCTTTCGTTTAGCTGCACAATGCTAAATGCAGCTGGATTGAGTTGTGTCAAGTGAGCGTATTACACACAGGTCACAAGGGTGGGCAGGGCTAATCAGTGCAACTGAAAAAATGTGAATAAATTAAGTTTAATCTAAAACTAAAAAAAAAAAAAGGCATTCTAGGGTTTTTCACTGCTGTTTTTTAAATAGGAATTTTAAGTCCTCTGTGCTTGTCTGTTTGCTAGGAGCAGTTTGAGACACTGTTACTGTTTTGAAATGCATGCATGTTACAAGATGAGTCTCCAACCAGAGAAAAATAAAATTAAAACTTTGTGTACATCTGTTCCTCACTGCTGTCCTCTTTAAAGTGCTCTAATCATCAACTGTTACTCCATGAGGTACGTGGTCGTTTTAAGTCCTAGATTAACCACAACTGGAAAAGACTTGTATGTGCCTGTAAAACGGGGTTTTTAAGTAAGAACTGATTTTACCAAGTACCGAGTCCTGGATATCAGAAGAAATTAAGATTTGACAGGAGAAGTTAATACTGCCGTGGTGTCTGAAGGAGATGCTGCTGACTCCCTAGGGCGCAGCTGAAGCTCAGTCACTCACACATACGGGTGTACTGAGGGAGATTAGTATAGGTGGCTCAGAGAGAGAAAGGTAAGCTCTGCTACCAAGCTCCTTTTGATAGCTTTAGAGATGAGAACTTAATCCTAGCGTTCAGACTCAAGAAAAGGAAAGTTCAATACAATAGAGAGTTTTATTTAAAAAAGTTCCAAGCAGACTGGGATGGGAAGCGCATGAGCAGATGCGCTGGGCTAGTCCATGCGAGCTTTCAGGGTCCTGGTGGTGATCTTGTCTTTTTCACTAGAGGGGGAAAGAGAGAAGACTATTAGTAAATCCGCGTTTAATACCTACGTGCAGATTGTCCCTTCGTTAGGAAGTTGCAGCGCACATAGGTAGTTTTCTTTGCTGGTGCAGGCAGGAGCATCTGAACTTGAAGGCGGCCGTTCCGGCTGAGTAAACCCCATCCTCCCGCCGCTTCACCCCAGGGGAGCTCCAGCAGGTTCAGTAAGCAGCAGTGCCTGGGATACTGCACGGAAACAGCACCGCGAGCAAAGTAAGCCGCTTCAGAAGTCAGTCTGACTGCAGAGTCTGGAAGTTAACGTCGCACCCGGCTGTGGCAAAAAGCATCCTCTTGGCCAGTGCTTACCCGTATGTGAGGAGTCACGCTCCTAAATACCGATGGGAATGCAGCTAGGGAATCCCTATGCAGCAAGAGTCTTAACTCTAGGATTAATTTTCCATGGCTCCTGCAGTTCTAGCAACCGCTACGAACTGCACCAGAGAGCAGCCATGAGAAATAAAACACTTAAAATGGACAAAACATTACTAAGGGTACTGCTGGAAGGGAGCAGGATTAGGGATACACTGGAAGCCGATGCCTTAACTGACTTTAACACACAGCTTGTTAAATTCTACCTCTGTTCTGTAGGGGAAGAGAGCAGCACTTACATTATGTGTACTACCACGCCCATTCCAGATATGGCATCTCTGTCCACTGCATTCAACATGGCCTGCGAGATTGTTTCGAAGAGGTGATCGGGTTCCTGAGGAACAGAAGCTATTTTAGTTGGTGTAAAAATTGAATGTTGAGTCATCGGATTTTGTTCAAAACCCAAAGTATCATCCAAGATGCTGCAAGATCTTTCCTGCAAGCTACAGCCTCTTTGTTCTCCTGAGCCCCTTCAGGAAGTACCGAAGGACAGAGCTTTTCATCCAACCCGCGTATCTCAGGTTCTCCAGCTAACAGCAGGAGGCCGAATCCAAGAATCGGAGCTGAGCCCAGCCACCTCACTCACCATGTCAGGCTCCCAGAGGGACTCGCACATGCCGTACATCTGCTCGGAGCAGGTGCCGCTGACCACAAAGTCATTGGTTATCATCGGGCAGCCGATCAGGTCTAGAGAGCAGATGAAAGGTTCGTGTGTTATGGGGTCCAGCCCGGCAATGACTGGTTCTGTGTAGTAAGGTCCAAACCTGTGAAGAACAACATGGCATAGAGTAGTCCAACCACCTCAACGCAGTACAACATCCCACGTAAATATCCATACAAGGAAAACATCCCACGGATGCTTTTGGTGGAGGACCTTTCAGGTCAACCTAGAAGCACCCTGCAATGGTTTCAGCGTGGCAAACAGGACAAACTTGTACTGCTACAGGATTATTTTAACAATACTCGATGTTCTTTTGCAAGGAGGTTGAAGATAACGTTGTCACTAGATTAAAGTCTCCTTTTGCCATACCACAAGTAGTCTTTACAGGAGCCCTCCTCGGCCTCCCACCTCTCTAGAATCAGATCAACTCCAACAACCACAGCCTTCACTGACAGGTAAACAGCGACTCTGTTGTTTGACAGTTACCGTCTCTCGTAGAGCAGATTGGAAACCATGCTCATAAAAGTCTGAGGTTTGATCTGCCTGCCTTCCTTCAGCTCGTAGAGATTCAGCCTGAACTTCAGTCTCTGGGCACTGCAAGAGATGAGAATCAGCATTAAATAATCTGCATTAAAGCAGAAGCAGGTTCCTTTTTCTTTCATCTTCACCCAGGCCTGAACTGTTCTACTGCACACTGACAGATACCAGCTCCTGACGCGTGCCTGCAGCAGGTAGGTACTCCAGATGCAGCTCCTTTTATACCTGAAGTTATTAAGTCTTAGTAGCGATGTGATCTTAAATCACGTGCAGCTTTATTTTAAAAAGGGAGAAGGGAGACCAAGAAAAGGAATGCTGGCACCCAGCTATTACACCCTCCCCCCCAAATAAACAAAGACATTTATGCTCAGCGTAAGCTGCCACTTAGTTTTTATTGTAAATAAAACCGTACAGGCTCAGTACGGGAACACAGGGGCGGGCGGCAGTCTCACTTACACAGTCTGCACGTCCGTGGCCAGTCCTGCCAATCCAATATACAGTCTTTCTCCCATAGGGAAAATCTTCTGGAAGTCTGTGGTCACCACCTGCGCTTGAATCCCAAACCGCCGGTCCGCAGCAATGGCCACGCAGTTCTTCCCCTTCATGGCCATGACGGCCCCGCCGTTATAGGACATAATAGACTGGAAGAGAAAAGGTCAGCGGGTAG